GTGCCCTCACTTTGATTGACTCCAGGAGCTTGGCCCATTGGTTAGTTGTGGATTTCTGCATTTGCTTCCATCTGTTTCTCTAAGAGGGTTCAAGCTTCTCTGGGGTTGTGGATTGTAGGCTGGGTATCTTTTGCTTTATGTTTATCCTTCTGGTTTTGATTACCTCACTTAGGATGTTTTTTTCTAGTTCTACCCATTTGCCTGAAAATTTTAGAATGTCATTGTTTCTTATCATTGAGTAGTACTCCATTGTGTAAATATACCACATTTTCTTTATTCATTCTTCAGTTGAGGGAAATCTAGATTGTTTCCAAGATCTGGCTATTACAAATAATGTTGCTATGAACATAGTTGAGCAAATGTCCTTGTGGCATGAATGTGCCTCCCTCAGATATATGCCAAACAGTGGTATTGCATGGTCTTGAGGAAGGCTGATCACTAATTTTCTGAGAAAATGACATACTGATTTCCACAGCATCTGTACAAGTTTGCACTCTCATGAGCAATGGAAGAGTGTTCCCCTTTCTCCACATCCTCTCCAGCATAAGCTGTCATTGGTGTTTTTGATTTTAGCCATTCTAATCTATATAAGATGGAATCTCAAAGTGATTTTGATTTGCATTTCCCTGATGACTAAGGATGTTGAGCATTTTCTTAAGTGTCTTTCAGACATTTGAGATTGTTCGGTTGAGAATTCTCTGTTTAGATCTGTACCCCATTTTTAAATAGGATTATTTGATAGTTTGATTTCTAGTTCCTTGATTTCTTTGTATATTTTGTTGATCAGCCTTCTGTCAGATGTGTGGTTGGTGAAGATCTTTTCCCATCTGTAAGGAGCCATTTTGTCTTGTTGACTGTGTTCTTTGCTTTACAGAAGATTCTTAGTTTCAGGAGGTCCCATTTATTAATTGTTGCTCTCAGAGTCTGTGCTACTAGTGTTCTATTTATGAAGTGATCTCCTGTGCACTTATGTCTTGAAGGGATGAAAAGTTGTGTGCTGATTAAGGTAAAGAGAATGGTAATGGTGTTTGTGTTGCTGCTTGTAATAGTGGTAATTGATGGCTATTGTTGGTGATGGTGGGATGAGGGTGGAGATGGTTGTTGTTTGTGGCGGGGGTAAGGGTGGAGATGGTTATTGGTAGTGGTGGGGGTGTAATGGTGGGGTTGAGGATAGAGATGGTTGTTGGTGATGGTAGGGTGAGGGTGTTGGCCATGGTGGGGGGTGAGGGCGGGGATGGTTGTGGTAATGGTTATGGGGTAATGGTAGAGATGGTGAAGCTGATGGAGGTGATGGTGGTGGTGGTAGCAGTGATGTTGAAGGTGGGGTGGGGGTGGGGTAGTGGTGATGATGATGGGGGGTGGTGGGAAGGGGATGGGGTGAGGGAGTTGGTGGCTGTGATGATGAAGACTTTGGTGACAAAGAAAATATATTCACAGAACCTGGCCCTCCCTACCTCAAAGAATTTTTATACATAAAAACCAAAAAAATAAAAGAAAAAAAAAGAAAAAACCCAAACAACCCACCCCCTAAAACAAACAAACAAGCAAACAAACAAACCCAAATTCAACTTTTTCCTTTGTAGCCAGTCCAGAAAATTTACTGGAAAGTGGAGTTTGGAATTAAAATCGTTTCAGAGACTGCACTGCAGGAGAATCTGTACCCCCAGACTAGAGAGTGTCACCCCCTCGCTGATTCCATAGCGTTTGAAGTCCGCCCCTCCCTCTAGCACCTTCTCCTTGGCCCCTCCCTCAGTCCAGCCTGCTTGCACTTGGAGCCAGTCTTCCCGAGGTTTCAGCACACTGTCTCTGAACCACGGCTGTGGGAAGCGTAGTAGACCAGGGCTGCAGTGGCGGGGGGTCAAGACAGAGGTGTGGGGAGAGCAAGGAGGGTTGAAGCCTACAGAGGCAGAGAGCAGCTGGGGAGGTCATGGAGAGTGAGGCAGGGAGGTGGAGGCAGTAGTGGGGGTTTGGGGAGAAAAGTGCTGAGCTAGGAGGTAGAAGGCACCGACACAGGGTAGAACTGAGGCAGCCACGGGGCTGATCGGGGATCTGTGCTCCAGGGAAGGTCGGAAGGCACCAGGGAGGAGGTCTGAGAGGATAGGGAACCCTGAAATCGTGGGTCCGAGCCGGAATACGTGCGAGTGTGGTCGCTCAGGTGAGGGTGGTGGAGCCAGAGTTTGAGCCGGGTTCTAGATCCGTGCTGGAGAATCTGGGGTGCAGCGAACAGACGGGGAGCGTGGGCAGGAGCCGGCGCCTAGGGGCCCTACGCTGGGAGATGCGGGTGCGCCTGGGCGCTCTGGCAGGCGCGGCGGCACTGAATGGGGCTCTCAGTTTCGTGCTGCTGGCGGCCGCCATCGGCACCGACTTCTGGTACATCATCGACACCGAGAGGCTGGAGAGGAGCAGTACCGGGGCGCAGGGCCAGGGACCCGCCAACCGCAGCCAACTGGAGCCTCTGAGTTCCCACTCCGGTCTCTGGCGGACTTGCCGGGGTAAGGGTCCTCCCCAGGTGTCCGCGTTCGCACTGAGGTGCCATACCTGCAAGCCTGGGACCTGTTGCTTGGCTCACACTTCTCTCTCAACCTCCAAGCTCACAGGGTCAAGCACTTAGAGGTGCCGGGAGGGTGGACAGAGAGGCTGGCTTTCTCAAGTGCTAGAGGCAGTGCCCAGCTCGGCTCACAAGTGCACACTGTTCGGTTTGCTTTCTTGGGTGGGAGACATCTAGGGCGGCTTTGCGGGAGAGAGAATGCCAGGGTCCTGCCCTTGAACTCATCCCTCCCATCAGTCCAGAGCTCCTGCACGCCACTGATGAACCCCTTCTGGCAGGAGAATGTGACGGTCAGCGACTCCAGCCGACAGCTTCTCAGTAAGTCTGGGGACACTGGATGGATGGAGGGAGGGAACAGCCCCTTTTGGCCTCTCGGTTTTGATGCTCTTCTTCAAACTTGGGTTCCTGCACTGCAGTGGTTGTGAGGACCACCCGGCCTGAGACAAGAGTCCGGCTAAGGCAGGGGGCGGGGCTGCTCTTGCTCTACCTAGAATCTGTATAGAATTCGTCTGTCCAACCAACCAACAGTCCTGTGTACAAAGCAACTTGGTGAATGAGAACTCAAATCCAGGCTATGCCCTCTAAGCCCTCACAGACTCGCTTCGGAGAGAGGTCCTTACTGAGGGAGCAATTGCATTTCTGTAGCAATCAGCATGAAAGAAGGTGGGGAGCCCACACTGGCGTCTGAATGTTGTTGGATTCTGAAGGCCAGATGAGAGGGTTTGTCTCGTAGATAAGAGGGCCAGTTTGTCAGTGGGAAGGGTGTGGGGCGATTCAAGGCAGGTGCTTAGGAGGTGGAGAACGGGGCTGTTGTCTGAGGGCCACTGTTTGTGCCTTGCTGGTGTCTGGCTTTCCCAGCACCTCCCACAGGGCCTGAGACTCCTTAGAAAAGAGAGGCTCAACACAAGAGAGGAAAAGGGCTGAATGGCACTTGTGGAAGGAAGGGAACAAAGGGAGTAGTTTCACTTATTGAAACTTAGAGTGGTGCAGAGGTGGAGCCAGGAGCTTTTCATTGTCACTAGTTGATTCTCCATCCACCCTGTGAAGTTGGTACTTTCACTTCTCAACCCCCATCCCCATTCACTACTGGGCACTAAATCCAGTGCCATGCTGACACTAGGCAAATGCTCTTCACTGAACTCTATCCCTATACCTCTTTCCTTCTTTTTAGTTTTTATTTTGAGCAGTCTCACTGTTTTCTAGCCTGACCTTGAATACACTCTGTAGCTCTGTCAGGCCTTGGATTTGCAATTCTCCTTCCTCAGATTGTGTAGCTGGGATTATAGGCCTATAGCACCAAACCTGGATATCACCTCCATTTTTGGCTTTCACTTGGAAACTGAGTCCAGGAAGGGTCTGAGGAGGAAATGAGGGTGGAAATCTGTAGGTATGTGGATGTGGGTGGCCTAGGGCAGACAGCCCGAGGCTTAGGAAGTGACCTGAAGCCTTTCTCTGTGTCTCCTTTCTTGCCTAGCACCCCGGGCTCCCTCCTGCCATAGGACTTTGCACATGTTTCCTCTTCCTGATGTCTCTCTGACCCCACCTGCCAGCTTAGCTTGGTTAATTTCCTTCTCATTGTAAAGAGAAATTTTTGGGTGTAGAATCTGACTCGCTCCTTAGTTTGTAAATTGTAAAGTCCACCAATGTAGGCCCACTGTTGAATTGTCAATATTTAGCACAGAGCCTGGAAGACAGTACAAAGCACAAATCTGTTGAACTAATATGAGAGTGAATGCAATCTATATTATGGGTCAAAATTATATATATATGAGTGGCTGGGCCTGTGAATGAGTGGATGCAAGGTTGAATGAATGACTAGGTGAGTAAATGGATGGATGGATATACAAATAGATGAGTGGATCAGAACTGTTTCTCCCAAGTCTAGTAGCATGTTGGGAAATATTTAACAAATAACTCTTTTGGAAAAAAATTTAAAAGCCCTTGATTTATAGTATTAGCTTATTTCTGTGGTATACATATTTCTAACGTGGCCAGTTTTAAATTGTCAGCATATTATTACCGGCTCATAAAATTCCCCAAATCTCACCTGACTCTTGTGAGCTGCTCCTCAGTGAACTCCAGCACACCCCTGTGTTAATTCCCACTGCTGGTGGTTTCCTGCAGTCACCCCTGTGTGGGGGCTGAGGGGGCCACCCCTGTGGGGGGGGCTTAGGGGGTCTCTCCTGTGTGGGAGCTGAGGGGATCATCTGTACTGTCAGCTTCTCCAGCTGCATTGAGAGGTCCTATGGCTGCTGTCTGAGCTCTGCTTCAAGAATCATCTAGAATTCTGTGTTTGAAGTGTGGGAGAGAAGGGTCCAGTCCTAACTCAGTCCTTCTCTGGCTCTCTTGATCCCAGAGTAGAAGTTTTGGTCTTTCTTTTGTTCACAAAATGGAACAAAAATACATGAAACCACTAGGAGACTGACGCAGGAAGACCGAAGACTGCTGGGCTCCAATATGAGCTCAGTGTCAGCTTGGCAACTTAAACTAAATTAATAATTTCAAAAGGTGTGGGGGTATAGCTCAGTGAGTTGCCTAGCCTGTGCAAGATCCTGGGTTCTATCTACAGCCTGGGGGTGTGGGGTTGGGGGTCAGAGAGTGGGAATAATAACAACCACGATGAAGCAAGACATGGTATGAGCAAAATGAACACCACTTAGGACCTCACTTTGCTTTTCAGTTGTGTATATGTAGGGCAACATGTTGCCTCAAAGAATGGCTTGACAGGCTCATGTCAAGCTCTAAGCAATCATTCACTTTCCCCACTACAGCCCCTTCCAAACTCTTTCTTATCTTGAGACACATTGGTGACCCTTGCCAAGCCTGAATGCTATCATTCAGCCACCTTGTCTTGCTTATAGGTAAATCCAAAGCTGGAGGTAGTTCACACTGGTCTGGTGTTCCTTGGAACTTGTTACTGCAGCAGCCCTGCTTGTTCCTTGACTTTGAGAAACAGGCAGATGTCTCACTCAGCAGCTTCCTTAACCTCCTCATGCAAGTCTGACCACAGCTTAGATGGCACCTGTACGTGTGACTTTGGGCATTACCTCCTCTTATCTGGGCCTCAGCTCCCTTGTGTTGAGGGCACAGGCCATCTTTTTTCTAATCTTTTTTGTTTAACCTCCTCCTTACACAGAGAGTTTTAAAAGTATGTTTATTACTATTGTGTGTGTGATGCCTGTGTGTAGATCAGAGGACAAATTCATGAATTGGGTCTCTCTTTCTATGTTTATGTGGGTTCTGGGATTGAACTCAGGCCATCAAGCTTGTATGGCAAGAGCTTTATCCACTGAGCCATCTTGATGGCCTCCTTCTAACCTTACAGTGATGACAGAATTTGAGATTTAACTTTAATAAGGCCAGGGTGGCGAGTGCTTGATTACATACATATACAACCAGATGCTGGGGCTGCTGTTATTTCTATTGTATTATCTAGGAATGAGGACAAGCTGCCCCTTCGGACTGCACACTCATTTCAGATCACCCCCTGAGAGAGCTTTTTCTCAGAATTGGTTTTCTCCCATAAATGAATTTTGTGTTTAGTCCAAGCTCTTTATGATGTAAAGATGTTCCAGTCATTTAAAGATCTGCTGCCAGAGAGACAGGTTGACAACAGACTTGCTCAGCTCCCTAAGCTGATCCTGGTGGGTATGGATGGGCAGAAAACTCAAGCCTGCCGAGGGACCACTTTAGTGTATCCTGACCCCAGCAGGCAGAGTGGTCAGCCAGACCCCATCTCCACTGCCTCATGATTCCATTAGCCATCTGGGGAGGAGCAAATGTGAACAGATGGCCCAACTCCTTACCTCATCCAGCCAGGGACAGAGAAAGCCATCTATTCTAGCTCCATTTATGTTTCTGTGACAAAAACCTGATGAAAAGTAACTTACGGGAGAAAGGGCTTGTTTGGCTCATGATTCCAGTTTACAGTCCTTGCTGTGAGGAAGTCAAGGCAGGAACTTAGAGCACTGTGCTCACAGTCAAGAGCAAAGAGGGATGGATGGATGTTTGGTTGCTAGCACTCAGATAGTGTTCTCTACCTTTATATAAGCATTTCTCAACCTGAGGATAGTGACCCCTTGAGGGGTCAAATGACCCTTTCACAGAGGTTGCCTCAGACCGTTGGAAAACACAGATATTTACATTACAATTCATAGTAGTAGCAAAATTACAGTTATGAGGTATCAACAAAAATAATTTTATGGTTGGGGGTCACCACAACATGAGGAATTAGGAAGGTTGAGAACCACTGTTTTATATAGTCAGGGGCCCAGTTCGTGAAATAATGCCTTCCACATTTAGGGTGGGTCTTCTCACCTCAACCAACAATCAAGACCTCCCTCCCCACACGTACCAAACACGGTCACAGGCCAACCAGGTCTAGATAATCCCTCATTAAGACTTTCTTCTCAGAAGCAAACCATCCAGTTCAGCATCCAGGGGCACGTCCTTAGTAGCAGAGTCTTGAAACCCTGGCTTGAGTATTTATTTGGCTTTCAGATTCACTCTGGACTAGTCATTAGGTGGCAATGAGGTTATCTCTTAGTGCTCTTCAAGAGCTATGGTGGACAGCCAGTGGACTAAGTGTGTCACCTAGGAACCTTTTGGTGGCAAATGACAAAAACTTCAGTTATGCTAACTTAAAGAAGAGGAATGGCTGGCACACTTTTTTTTTTTTTTTGGTGTTGCTATCCCTGGGTCTCTTTTTCTTCCTCTGTGAGCTTTTCTTTGGATGGGGGTAAGTTTGGGCTGAATCAGGCAACCCAGAAGGGAGGAGCTATCCATTGGACCAGATCAGATTATAGGCCTTTGTGTTGAGCCAACTGGCTGAAGCTAAAAAGATGTTGTGTGCTGATTGGCCAGGTTGAACCATGTAGCTATTCTTTATCTTTTTAAAATTTTTTTCCCTTTTGAGGCTGTCCTAGAACTCAATCTGTAGACTAGGCTTGTCTTGAATTCCCCCTGCCTCTGCCTCCTGAGTGCAAGAGGACACTCTTTTTTTTTTTTTTTTATTTGAATTAGAAACAAGATTGTTTTACATGACAATCCCAGTTCCCTTGTCCCTCCCAATGGACACTCTTAATAAAAGGGCAGAAAAGGTGTCAGCCCCTTGAAGACAATGGACAGAGAGTGGGGTTTCTTGACTGCAACTTACCCACCTGTGTGAATTCCTAGCCATCACCTGTGTCTGTAAGTGGGCTCTCTGGGAGGAAATGAGATATGCAAAGATACAGGGATCAGATCTGTATACAGTAGGGACACAATTAATGCTTAAATCTTTATTATGTTCCTGAGCCTCCAGTTTCTCACTTGGAAAA